CCCCCCCCCCCCCCCCCCACCTGAAAATATTCACGACTCATTCTCCCTAAAAAATGTAGTGTTCGGGTTTCGCTTGAAGAAAAGGTGGCAACCCTATGGTAGTATGGTAGCCCTCTACCGGTAAAGGAACTACAAGTACCAGCTAGCCACAACTTGGAGTTGAAGTTCTTCCACCTCTAGGGGGACAACTAGATGGAGAAGTTTGCTACAAAGTGATCCACAGGAACTGCTTCTGCATACCTGGCAGTGTGTTATCGGAGGCAGTGAAGACTCGAGAGCGTCTTGTATTAAGCGTACAAAGCTTAGAAAATGGAGTCGTTAGCGATGACTATGAGCATCAACCATGAAGTGCGGAGATGTCAGGCGCTGAGCGTTCCCCCGGCTATGGCATCACAGACACTATTTTTTTTCAAGCTGATAAAGAAACTTGAAGGTTTCCTTTTTTATTCCTCAAAAACATTATGTGAAAATTTACCAAAATCTGGTCCCTCGGGATAATGACGTTCTCAGACAATTCCTCCCCACACAGCTCCCTCCTCATGTATCACTGGCCCCTCCCTTTTAGATTGTAAGCCCTCAGGGGCGGGGCCCTCCTTACCATCCTGTCTTGTATTGTGATTGTAATGTCTTCCTTATATTGTAAAGCGCTGCGCAAACTGTTGGCGCCATATAAATCCTCTATAATAGGAGGCGGTGAAGACTCGAGAGCGTCTTGTATTAAGCGTACAAAGCTTAGAAAATGGAGTCGTTAGCGATGACTATGAGCATCAACCATGAAGTGCGGAGATGTCAGGCGCTGAGCGTTCCCCCGGCTATGGCATCACAGACACTATTTTTTTTCAAGCTGATAAAGAAACTTGAAGGTTTCCTCAAAAACATGATGTGAAAATTTACCAAAATTTGGTCCCTCGGGATATTTATCTACCAAATAATTCATATTCCTTATCATAATGAATGCGCTTCAACTAGAACAATGAATCAATCAACAAATACCGTATTTTTCGCTCCATAAGACGCACTTTTTTCCCCCCAAAAGGAGGGGGAAAAAGTGCCTGCGTGTTATGGAGCGAATCCCGATGCCCGAGACATGCAGTTTCGGGCGCCGGGCGAGTAGTAGGAGCCGCTGCTCGTTTAATACGAGTGATCTAACGAGATCACTCGTATTAAAGCCGAGCAGCGGCGACGATCGAGATAACCATAGAGCAGACGAAGAATAGACGTTCTTCGCCTGCTCTGTGTCATCACTGAGACCGTGGCGCTGTAATCACAGCGCCACCTGTCTCAGCGGTCACTAACTGCAGCTTCTGTCACAGAAGCTACAGTCTCGAGTGCTCCATAAGGCGCGCCGGACCTCCCTGCGTCCTATGGTCCGGTGCGTCTTATGGACCGCAAAATACGGTAAGTGCTGAACAATAGGTGCAATCAAAGTGTTCACAATTGCTCTACTTGTACGCGTGACGTCACAATTGGCTTCATCCGGGGTGTGAGATTTAGCTTCCAATGGTAGCACATTAAGGACGGAGTCCACTCGCTTACCACGTCTTTTTAAGGGCTTCTTTGCCCACTTTTATTACTTCATACATAAGGCCCCGTTCACATTGAGCGATTTATCGCACGATTTTTGTAGCGATGTCGCTCATATTTCCGCACTATATCGCTCTATGTAGCTCAAAGTCGCACGATTTGCATGTCGCTCAGTGTGAATGGGGGTCTCACACTGAGCGACATGCAAATCGCGCGACATTGAGCGACACCGCGCGACATCTTCCTATTGGGCTGTATGCAATCAGGAGCAATATCGCTCAAAATCGCTCTAAAAAAGGGTCATGTAGGAGCGACAAGCTACCAGCGACGAGCTACAAGCGATATTGAGCGATATTGAGCGACGAGATGTGAACAGCTACATTGAAATGTATTGGTGAAGCTACATAGAGCGATATAGTGCGGAAATATGAGCGATATCGCTACAAAAATCGCACGATAAATCGCTCAATGTGAACGGGGAGTAAGAGTCCACACAGGTGTTTCCCTCGCAGGGGGTCTTCAAACAACGTGCAGCAAAATAATGAATTTCCAAGTCTCACCGACTTCAGGTTATCACAAAAAACCCTCTCCCACACCGGCTGTAACTAGCTGACGTGCCACACAGGCTGGTTCCAGGATGGAGTCCTCCTGACTCCTGGACAGACACCTCCCTTGTCTTCCAGCTGGAGCCCTGAACCTGACCCAGCATCCTCCTCATAAGGGCTGTGCACAGGTGTACCATCATTTGGTGCCGCTCACCACTAAAGCCCTGGCCCAGGAATGGAAATTTCTTCACTTCCCAGTTCTCTTAGAAATCTCCCGGCTCCAGGATCCCAACTATAATCCAGAAAACCCGGAAGGAGTGGTAAAGCCGGCTCTTCCCTGGTAACAGTACTTTCCTGTAGTGAAGGGGCTCGGTCGTGTTTGCAGCTCCACGTGCCGAGCCCGCCAGGAAGCTGACAGCGCCAATCACAGGCACGGAGACATTTCCCGATCTCTGCAGCTGCGGACTCGGATAATGTCTCAGTGCCTGTGATTGGCGCTGTCAGCTTCCTGGCGGGCTCGGCACGTGGAGCAGCGAACGCGCCCGGGCCCATCACTACTTTCCTGGAGCCGCTCAGCCCCTCTTGCTGGGAGTCCAGGGTGACTTTGAGGCCACATTATACCGTCGGTATTGCCACGCAATGCCACAGGGGGTGGTAATTGGAATTGGTGCGCGGACTTTGTATGAAGAACTTTCACAGCGGAAGGATAAAGAGCGCGGTGCGGTTGGGACAAATCTTCAGCACTTTATACGTGCGATTCCACATTTGTGCACATCGGAATACGGAACATAAGATTGGACCTTGCAGAGGGATATTATTTAGGATTGATATTTACAAGAAGAGCCATTGTGGGCACTTTGATTGCACTTATTTATTATAGAGATTTATTTATTTATCGTTCGAGTTGAAGCGCAGCACATTCATTATTATAATCTGATATATTCAGAGGGTAACACTTCCTATAGTGCTCGCAGCTACACAGGGTTTGGCGCGAGGTTCTATTTGTCATTAATTCATATTCTTTACTCCACATCGCCTTCCCCTAATGCCCATGTGTAATGCTTCCCGTACACCTCATACTACACATCCCACTCCTACACCCCCCCCCTCCTCCCTTCTTATCACCTCTTCCTCTACACTGAGTGGCCGGATTATTATACACACTGAGTGGCCGGATTATTATATACACTGAGTGGCCGGATTATGATATACACCGAGTGGCCGGATTATTATATACACTGAGTGGCCGGATTATTATATACAATCCTCTGATTTATTTGCACATCTCCCCTGTCTAAGCTCTCATCAATGTTAAGGATGGGCCCGGGTGTGTTCGCAGCTCCACGTGCCGAGCCCGCCAGAAAGCTGACAGCGCCGCAGCGCCAATCACAGGCACTGAGACATCTCTGCAGCTGCGGACTGGGAAAATGTCTCAGTGCCTGTGATTTGCGCTGCGGCGCTGTCAGCTTCCTGGCGGGCTCGGCGCGTGGAGCTGCGAACAAGCCCGAGCCCATCCTTAATCAATGTTCCTCGTCTGTCCCTATCTGTTCTCATCACTTGCTACACAAATGTATCATTTTTGTTCTATACTTCATGTTACAGTGACACTAATCTCAGGAGTTATAGCCTAAAAATACATCCGCGAACCTGAACTCTGAACAACAATGTATCTTATTTGTGTATCACTCGGCTGCAGATCCTCCAATCATCTCTGAATTGGTGCTGACACTGTCCTTCCTTCTGGAGGGGGGCTACGTCTGTTCCCCATGGTCCCTGTGTGTGTTATAAAGTAGTCACCGCTCCAAGCTCGCTCCCGGGATGGACTACAATCTCAATACAAAGTAGCAAACTAAACATGAGATTGTAGTCCATCCCGGGAGCGAGCTTGGAGCGGTGACTACTTTATAACACACACAGGGACCATGGGGAACAGACGTAGCCCCCCTCCAGAAGGAAGGACAGTGTCAGCACCAATTCAGAGATGATTGGAGGATCTACAGCCGAGTGATACACAAATAAGATACATTGTTGTTAAACGGAACCCAAGGTATCAGCAAGACCGGCTCATCCGATGAAGCTGAGACTTGTAAACCTGAATGAGGTGCTTCTGCAGACCTGACAGTGTATAACCGGGGTCAGCCAAGAGCATCTTCAGACCTGGAGACGTCACACAACCCTAAGACCCCATTCACACTGAGCGACATGGAAATCGCGCGACTTTGAGCGACATTGAGCGACGTGTCGCGCGACATCGCGCAACTTCTTCCTATTTGGCTGTATGCAATCAGGAGCAATATCGCTCAAAATCGCTCTAAAAAAGGGTCATGTAGAAGCGACAAGCTACCAGCGACGAGCTACAAGCGATATTGAGCGATATTGAGCGACGAGATGTGAACAGCTACATTGAAATGTATTGGTGAAGCTACATAGAGCGATATAGTGCGGAAATATGAGCGATATCGCTACAAAAATCGCGCGATAAATCGCTCAATGTGAACGGGGCCTAAATGTTCCTCTCTATGGTACCGTAGCCGGTTCCTCAAGCCGGTAGCCCTCTAGCGATAAAGGATCTACAAGTACCAGCGAGCCGGTAGCCATCTAGCAGTGAAGGATCTACAAGTACCAGCGAGCCGGTAGCCATCTAGCAGTAAAGGAACTACAAGTACCAGCCAGCCCTGCTCTCCAGATCATACTGGGACTTGTATTGTCTCTGCCGCTGGAGGCCAACCAATGGGAGAAGGATGCTACAGAGCGGTCCTCGGCAGTCAGCAATAAGTGATTGTACGTACTTGGCAGACAGAGTGTTAATGGAGCCCGTCACGAGCATCATTGCGGCCAGGATAAGCTGGTACGACGTCCAGGCCATGGCTGCTGCTGGGGGCCCCGGGGTTCCTTTCGGAGCGAGCTGCTGGAAGAAGGATGCACCTTGTTTGTGGCAGAATACATACAGTGAGGATAGGACGCTGAGTTCCTGTATGATCAGACTGTGCAGTCATGTGACCGGCGAGTCATCTGTAACCCATAGAGGGAGCGTCAGACACCGTGTGTGTGTGCGTGACGTCATGTGCAGCACGGGCTCAGATTAATATCACAGCCACCGGCAAGAAACCTCGCTGTGGTCTGGGCGGCCGTTCTTCACTTCTGCAAAACCGGCAGAAAAATGAGGAAACGTGACTTGTTACTATGTTACATCCGCTGCATCGCATTCCTCGCCTAAAGGGTCACCCCACCCAGGACGCATACTTCAGTGTTTGGTAGATGATGGAGAGTTAAACCGCCTGACAAGTCTCTTCTGTCTCTCGGGGACTCTGTTGGTGAGATCCTTGTGCTGAGTTCCCGGCTCTGCGCCCATCATGAGTAGTGATGAGCCGAACACCCCCCGTGTTCGTATTCGAACACCCGAACGGACGAAAAGTTCGAAATACGAACTCGAACTTAATGCAAGTCAATGGGGGTCGAACTTTAGAAAATGATTGGGGTGTAAAATGTATGGGGGTCCGGGTACTGCCTTGGGGGACAGGAATCAATGAAAAAAGAAAGGAAAAAAAAACGTTTTTAAAGGAGCCGTGATTTTAACATGAGGTGAGTGCTTTCCACTCACCACCTAGTTCTAGCCGACCTGTAACAATGAGACTGTCACAGGTCGGCTCAGTAGATCGGGAGGTGAGAGAACACATACCGGCGTTCGAATATTGTATATATATTGTATGACAACTAATGGGCGGAGCCAGCCATAGCGTCACAACCCACTCCGCCCAGTTGTTTTTATCTGGCCGGGACTTGCAATAGCGATTTGACAGGTGCAGCCCAATGTCAACAGATAGATGGAGCCAACGGTGATGTCAAGTGGGCGGGTTGGTGGGCGTCGGGGGTTTTATTTTTTATTCTGACGAGTTGGCGGAGGCGTGGACAGCGCTGGATGATGTGATTGACCCTGGATTACTTCGGAATTTGTTTGGCCTCTATTTTTTATTTTGTTTTTAATTTTCCTAAAGTTACAGTCATGTGACCAGAGGTCCCGAGTCTTTCCTCTTCTTGTGTTTACTTCCTGCAGAGTCCTTCCTCAGTTATCCACGTCACTGCCTGCATGATGTGGGCACTTCCTATTGGCTGTCCAGTGGCGGGGTCCTCTCAGGATCCAGAAGAGGAATGACAGCATCGCAAGGGGACAGTAGGGTATCGGCCTGCAATGGACCATCTGCAGAGCTGGATTAGTAGTATCTCACACTCAGAAATGGACATAGATGAGTATAATTTGCTTTAAAAAAGTAAAAGTAAAAATAAAAATGCTGCAGGATGAGAAGAAAGGGGGGAAGAGGGAGTGATGGGGGTTCACATTTTGCCCAGAGGGGGAAATTGTACCTGTATCATAGGACCAGGGGTGCCCCCTTTACCTGGGTGCCGGCCAGGACAGCGTGGAGTATAAGGTACTTCCTGGGGTGATTTGGTGCCCAGCGGCGGTAGGGTTGCGGGTGCGCACGCTTGACGTTGCAGTGACCTATTAGTCACTTCGGGTGCTGGTCATCAACGGGGCAGGTCCCTGTTATCACACTCACTTCTCCTCCCCATCCCATTGGTTCTCAGGGGTTTGAAGCTTCCTCGTTGCCCTGACAACGGGGGCGTTTCTGGTCCCTGATGGGTTTAAATTCCATCCAGAGCCAAGGCTTGTTGCTGAGTTATTCCGCCATATCCGGTGCAGCTACGAAGCGTTACTTCCTGTTCTCCTGTTCCTGCCTTCCCTTCCCCACTGTTTGGATCTCCTGGTGATCGACCCCTGGCTTGACTTCTGGTTTATGATACTTGCTGCCTGCCTTGACCCGGACTGTACTTTGAGGAAGATTTTTGGACTCCCCTATTTGTACCTTTATCCTGGACTTGCATACCGGTGCTGTTCTCTGCTATTGGGTTCCTCTTCAGCAGACAGGGGGACTCCGCTCCTAGACAACCTGTAGTACAGTTTGTGATGATAATGGGGTCTGAGTCTGAATATTCAAAAATAGCATTCTCTTGTCCCCCAATCAGGGCAAATGCCGGCCTTCATTTAGTCATTTGCCAGGTCCCTCCACCTTCCACAGAACAGAGATCTGCTTATCTGGCCTGTGATCTTTTATAGCCCCAGCACAAGTGAAAGTCCAAAATATCTCTCTAAGCCTTTTATGCCTGTCTCTAATTAAAGGCATGGCACCAAGCAATCATCTACTACCAGTGGACAAGTTAATATAAACAAGCAGGTCTGGTAGAGGTAATGATCCATGTGACCCCACATTCACCCGAAAGTCATAAACCTGAGTTACAATATCGGCTCCATTTCATATCAAATTGGGCGGGGATAGTGAAAAATAAAGGTTCATCCCCTGCCTGCTTTCCATCCCCAGCCCTGTCCTAGGGGCCGGCTCTTTAAGGTCTGACAAAAAGATGCTGTACTAGCTAGAGAGGGCTCTAGTTTTGAAAAACATCAAGGAACTAAGAAGTCTTAACATCGCAGAAGAGTTCCCCTTTAATCATCTCCTTAAAGCTTGCTGGAAGAAGAGCCCTTCAGACTTCTCTTTTGATTCTCTGTCAGAACTCCTAATTCCAGGACTGTTAAGTATTCCCCTTTATTCCCTTTTATTTTACTGTTGTATACAGAGGCGTAACTAGAAATCACAGGGCCCCAAAGCAAAATGTTGTATAGGGCCTGTTTGATCTCTAGTTATGCCCCTTGAAGAGCCCAATTGAGATCCCACACAGCCCACCTGAGGGTGACCCTACAGAGCCCACCATGGACTCTCTATGGTGATGGCCAGGGCCCCTTTGTTCCCCTGGGCCCCATAGCGGGTCTGTGTTTCCTTTAAAAAAACACATGGTGGCGGCGAACGTTTGGTGGGTAAAGGGTTAACTGCGGAGTCAACCAACCCTGGTGATGATCGCAGCTGCTGCAGAAGAGACTGGACCCGGCGTTCGCAGTGAAGGAGGAGGCGGGGCCCGGCAACCTAAGAGCAGGAGGGGGCCAGTGATGTAGGAGGAGGCGGGGCCCGTCGATAGAAGAGGAGACAGGGCCCGAAGATGTAAGAGGAGGCGGGGGCCCGGGGACAGAAGAGGAGGCGGGGGCCCGGCGACCACGGAGGCGGACAGCCCTGACAGGTAAGAGGTGTGCAGCCCACCTGAGAACCTGCAGAGCCCACCATAGAGAGTCTATGGCGGGCTCAGCAGGGTCACTCTCAGGTGGGCTGTGTGGGATCTCAGGTGGGTTCTGCAAGTGGCATAACTAGAAATCACAGGGCCCTGTGATTTCTAGATACGCTCCTGCATGTGTCCATTAAATCAGTGGCGTAACAATCACCATAGCGACCCAGGCGGTTGCTATGGGGCCCTGGGCACAGTGGGGCCCGGCCAGATGCCATGGGGCCCGGGGCACAGTGGGGCCCGGCCAGATGCCGTGCGGGCCACCTGCTGGTGGCTTTCACTGGCGTCTGAAGACGAACACGCCGCTGTTCAGATCATCTGTGCAGCGGCGCGTTTGTCTCCACAGAGTCAATGAGAGCCAGCAGCGGCGGGGGAGCAGGCTGGACCCGGTGTTCTGTCAACGTTGCGAGCCTCTGACGTCACAGGAG